CTGAATATCGGTTGTAGAACCCTTTCAGTTCTATTGCAATACTGCAAAATCCCCGTTCATTCCTCTATTGAACCTCCCATGCATGGCTATCGACCTGCGCCGTCACATCTGCTGCGCAAACACAGTACTTGATACACCTTAAAATGTATTTACCTTCCTCTTTACTCTGAGCAATCAGCCTGCAAGTCTCCAGTCAGGAACAACCAGCCCGCAACCAGCCCATGCGATCAGCCCGCAACCAGCCCGCATTCAGCCTGCGATCAGCCCGCAATCAGCCTGCAGGAACGCTTTCCCCTCGGCCGTGTCACTTGCCTTACACATCCAAGCCAAAGAACTCCACAGCCTTTCGGGCATGTTAAATTATTCAGGTTGATTCCTTCACGCTCAGGGTTGCTTTCTGTACAAATATGAACACATTTTTAGCTTTAGCAAGTGGATGTTTTCCCAAACACAGTATATATGCGCTATCGCCCATGTCAGCAGCCGGGTGACGATATCGCATTCTCCCAAATCACATACAGTTTCTCCTTCCACCACCAGCTTCAAGCCAGCGTTTTCGACGATGTCGACGTCTCCGCACGCCAGGACGCTCTCCTCAGACTCCAGGGCCTCAATCAGAGCGGAGATGGCCTCGTCCCCTAGAATGAAGAATCGGGCGGATGCGTTATTCAACAGGCAGGGAGTAAAGAAACTTAGATTGACTTCAGATACCATGAGCCTACTCCAAAAATAAAATAATGCACTTAACATATAAAGTGCAGCTAGATAAAATATGGCACTAATCAGCAAGAACATATGTTTATTAAAATCAGCCAAATTTATACCTAAATCAGTTAACCCCAAAATGGCAAGCTGATTTTATTCCTGACTTATCTTCATTTGGAAGATTTGTCTAAATACCACATGCATGATTTAAGCTATGGGGCATTTATACAACATATAAATACTTTGACTTACTGCATTGATTGGTCTTGCATATGGACTGTCTTCATCCAATGCATTCATCCATGCATTCGAAGAGCGTTGTGATATTGCTTATTATTGTCAATCACAAGTAATATAAATAATACATAACACTTGACAAGCCAAAAGTTAACCTTATTTCAGTTCTTCAATATTCGATTACTTGCCATTCACCCAATCTTGCACCAGCCGCTCGTCACTGCACAAAGCGTGATCCAACGCGATTGAAAAATGGCGATCGGTTCCGGTGGACGCTAGAACGTGGTACCGCGGGCGTGGTCTTGATGAAAGCCATTACACTGATTAAACCACAACCCCTTCTTCTTAAACCCGATGCTAGTTCGTGCAAAACCTTCAAAGGGTTTATCTTTCGCGCGCCTTGTGTGACGTAATATCACGTGACTAGGGAGAACGAAGAAGAACCGGTGTTGGTCGAGTTGAAGCCCCCTGGGGCCGCTAAGACTGCACGCGAAGAAGCAGCACGTGTCTTCGGTCTATGTGAAACACTGTGTGTGTTCTTCATGAACCAGACGTTCTGCTTCGCCTCTAAGCCAGTTTACCCTAACACCCAAAAAACCTAAGTGTGGAATATTTTAAGATGCTTTTGCATAACGTTCTTTCAACTTGTTTTCAGTGAAATATTCTCCCATAAATTCTGCATTGGAATCAACTCTTATCTTTTGCCCAATTTTGCCCAAACAGCTACTACGAGACATCAAAGCAGAAGATGTCGCGTGGCTCCCTGCGCTCCGCTGCGCTGCCCGGCGCCGCGGCGGTCAGCTGACTGCGGCGTACCGCCGCAGTAGTAGTGTCGTGCTAGGAGGGGCAAAGACCCCACACTGCAGTGCCTCACGTATGCGCGTATATCCGCAATCATTGTTAACCACCCTCCTAGGAGTAAAGTTAAATGCCATTGCAGTTTAGTCGTACCCCCTCTCAGCAAAAAGAAAAAAGGACCTATCCGGCTCTAACAAATTACCCGCGTAAGGCGTAGCGCATCACAACAAATAGATTCCTGCAGTTTATCATGTTTACACCTAATCCAAAATTTTCATGACCCCACTCTCAGCGACCTTCACGTGTAACCTCTTTCTCGAGACAATGCCAGGACAGAATGGTGATTCGACGTCAATCCGTCCTTTCCATCTCCAGGATAGTTGAATCCTCCTCCACGCCTCAACCACCTGTTCCGAGCTGGACCGGCAACGTATATTGCAATCGGGCAGCTCACATAGGAGCGCGCCTGTAGCCGGGTGCAGTGAGTGCTTGGGAGGGGGAAGGGGGTGGGTCATGGGTGGCCTGCCCACTGCATGGCTGGGCTCAGTCTCCAGTCTACGATTAACCGTGTCCGGTCAGACAAATGTCTCCCCTAGTTCCAATAATCCTGCTAGCTCTAAAAATGGTCTGATTAGATAAAAAGCCTATCAAAGTAAGAAAACAACTCCACATACTCCACAAAATACTCCACATCAAGCAGCTTATGAATCTATGCGAGTTATGAATCCTAAAAATTATTATTTTCCCAGGTCCGCCCTCATTACCCCTGCCGAAGGGCTCAGCTACCCCCAGAGGGGGCCTATCACACTATTTGACGACCTTCAGTTATCTTTTCTAACGTAAATGTTGGTAGTCAGCAGATTCTATCCAGAGAATGGCGATGCCTATCTGTCGCCTGATACCAGAATATATCCCCGTTATTCATTATTTATGCACAATGTATATAGTAGATCCGATTTCCAAAGAACCTAATTATCTCTCAGCTCCGTTAGCATCGCCGACCGTTTGATGCATGGGTCCTTTTCCTACCATGCGATTTTCAGATGCATGGGAACACATTGCTTAGTGAACGAACAGCCCGAGGTCGATAATCTGCGAGAGAAAAAGAAAGGAGTGTTTGTGGCCGTTTGAGCCAGCAAATATGAAATGTGTCGTAACATTTTACGTGCGAACGCACCTTGCACTAAACATACCTATACACGTCCCTCATGGCATAGGCGGCGGAGCGGGGGGGGGGGGGGGGAGGGGGCACCGTGCCCCCTTGATTTTGCCATTTTAACATTATCCCTATAGGCGTTGCATGGAAATGGAACTGGAAAGAATGGGGCCAAAAGTCGGCATTCCCCCCCCCCCCCTTAACCCGCGCCCCACTGGGGTCTGCGTATAACACGCCCTACTGGGGGGGGGGGGGGCTATTCATAGCCCCCCTCCTAACTCCGAAACTACTGGGCCGATCGTCAAAATTCAAACGGCGTCTGATAGCCCCGGAAAAACTGTCGAGCCAAACCTAATTTCATTGACCTCGAGGTCACCGATGACGTCACAGGTCAGGTCAAAGTAAAAATTATTAGCATTTTGGCTTGTTCACGTTTTGGGCTCTGGCCGCCGTCTTACAAGTCAGATCACGCTCATTTTTGGTTCACACACTCGTGAACAGATGTTCTAGATACCCTGAGGGTACCAAACTTGTACTTTGATTTTCAGGTCAAGGTCAGGTCATCACAGGTCACGAAAATATTATATCATGTGTCGGTCACGTGACACATGTTTTATGGTCCATTTAGGCCACAGATTTCGAATTTGATGTCGTCTGTGTCATTCGAGGTCATTTTGAGTCGAATTTAGCTTAGGTCAGGTCACTTTCAGGTCAAAAAAGGTCAAATTTTGAAGTTATAATTTTTCAACAGAAAAGGTGTCTATTGGATGCAGTTTGAGCTCAGGAACACGATGGTGCTATTTATATTGGCGTACGATGTCAAATACGTGGTGAAAAGTTGATTTGAAAAATTAATAATTGTGAATTTTTTGCAATAATGCGTATAACTTGGCTATTTTTGAAGATATTTAGCTAAAACTTGCTAGAGTTATTCATGATAACGCGTTCTATCACATATATTCCGGTTTTTTTCGAAAAGTCAAAAACTTTTTGAAAAAAATGTAAAAATGTAAATTTTGAATTTTATTTTATAGAATTTTCGTAATTTTCAAAATTTCGAAAATCCGAGATAGCAGTTTGATAGCGCAGTCGATTCTGAGTCCTCTCATGCAAAGAAATTGGATCTAGCTTAAAAACTGAGCCCTTGGGAGCGATTGCCGTGCTTCAATGTTTTGCGTCGAAATCGGCCGAACATGACGTCACTCTGACGTCATTTCCGGCCGACCTATGGTAGCTACGAAGTTCAAATTTTGACACAAGGTGTCAAATTGATGCAGCCGAAGCTACTGAAAGTTTGGCGTCGATACGTCAAGCGGTTTGGAAGTTATTGCAGAAAAACGGGAGGGGGCTATAAATAGCCCCCCCCCCAGTGGGGCGCGGGTTAATTGAAAATGTTCCGCCGCTACAGCCTCATGGCTACAAAATAAGAGAGAGAAAGAGAGAGAGAGAGAGGGAGGGAGAGAGCTGGGGAACGAGGAGGAGAGGGAGGAAGATGGGGGAGAGAAAGAGAGAACCCACAGCGTATCACGAGTGAAGTCTATTGTTGATATCCATACTTCCGCTACCCTGCCAATGTGCCCATCGTTGCGTTTTCGCAACACCGTTGTCTTTCCGATGTGCCCTTCGTTGCGTTCCCGCAACGCGACCGTAGTCATATTTGAAAATAGTCACAAACCCTTTTTGTAGCATTATTTCTTAACAAAATGCATATCTACGCTTTTGTAGGGACTCTGCAGAATATGTTTACACAATTTTCATTACGGTATTATTAAGCACTTAGCCTACTTATCTTGGTTTTCGTGACGTCATCACTCACAAAACCTTCGACTTCCCTCTGGGAGCTCTAGGCAGTAACTTACCGGCCGCACAGACTTGTAACTGCGTAGCATCATGCGCACAACCATGCTACACACGCTGAAACTTATCTCATCGGTTAGTCTCTTTTACACACTTCTCAAGCTTCGATCACGTCGACGCTTGCTTGCGTTGCGAAAACGCAACGAAGGGCGTAAATGGGTTAAAATTCGAATCGACACCCCACACGCGTCACGCCATTACATTGCTTATGTAGGTACTTACATAAAAGCTGTGAGCTGTAACCCACCTGATAAAGGTTGAACCAGCGCAGCTGCCACTTTGAGTTGTCGGAAGTGCGCTTGTAGAGCGGCCCGAAGAGGTGTTCACCGTATCGCGCCTTCTCCGCTAGCATCAACAGCTGGCTCTCGTTGATGCGCACGCTGCGCTGCATTTTCGGCGAGAGCATGACGTCACAGCACCCAGCAGCGTGACGTCAGGTGGGGGCCGCGAGGGAGCGACCGACCCCCATCGGCGGTTGGTGAGAACGGCTGGTGAAGAATCCAGCGGGTAGGCGAGCCGTTGTCGGGTGATGTTGGTTGCGATTGATCCTGCAAGACATACATAGCTTCTACTATGATGTAATGACATCATATTAAAAAAATTAATACAGATTTTTGAAAATGCGATAGAATAAGAAGTCACGAAGACCTGACAAATCGAGCGATATGCAATATGAACTCCTTTGGACCAATTTCGTGACCTAAGACACAGAGAGAGAGAGAGAGAGAGAGAGAGAGAGAGAGAGAGAGAGAGAGAGAGAGAGAGAGGGAGAGAGAGAGAGAGAGAGAGAGAGAGAGAGAGAGAGAGAGAGAGAGAGAGAGAGAGAGAGAGAGAGAGAGAGAGACCGTGACCTGGCTTTGCGCTGATGCCAACACTCGAAGTTGACTTTTACCAAACTCAGACCAAAAGCATTCGACGCGCATATAGTCATGGCCAACACGATGGTGCTCAAATTACGGCTCTGCGACCTTTTTTGAGCGAAGTTATTCGCTATAAACCGAGCAATTATTTTAGTGCACTTGACCTGACGGCTGACCTCAGAAGTCACCGGTTGGCATGAGACCTTTAAATTGGGTACTATTATGGTCGTTGAATCTCTTAACGGCGCACTTACTCCTTTTCTTACGAGGCTCAAGCTGAACTAGGGGCGAAACGGAGAGGGAGCAGTTTCATCACTTTCGGTAGGTATTTAGAAAACCGAAAAGTCCGGCGAGGGTGGTGCAAATGGCTGAAAAGACGAAATGACAACTTCTAGTTCAATCTATAACTTCTATAACTAGTTCTATCTAACGAATGCAATGGGCAGGACAACCGATTGTGACGCTGTTTTGCAATAAGTGAGTGTGCGATTTAGGTACACGTTTCCTGGAGATATTGATGATAAAAGCGAATGCAAAGTGCGAACCTTGTTTTATCGTGTAAAGTACATAAGAAAGGCCCGATGAGGATGGAGGGTCCAATGGGTCCAATTATAGCGTAGGCTTAGGGGTTTTCGAGTAAGTACCACTTGAGCATTGGTTTATCATCCTTTAATAAAACATGATTAGGCATTTGAATAGGTGTATATCTTTAACCCTATTCCTGGCGGGGGGGGGGGGGCCTCAGGAGCCCCCCCTGAGGTTTTTTGGTTATATCTCCCAAACGCGTTGAGCTAGGAAGCTCAAATTTTCTGACTTTTCCTAAAAGGCTTCTACGCAACATGTCTGAAAATTTTGAGTTGATCTGACCTCAGGTCAGGTCACCAGAGGCGGTTTGGTGACGCTACCTCAGAAAAGTTTGCAATCACGCCAGAGCTAGAGTTTTTGCCCGATCAATTTCTTCTCTTCAGGGTTTAGTTAGGGTACCAGTATGTGCAATTTGTATATCTCGGAATTTTGATATCGGTGACCTAAGGTCAGGTCAATTTCGCGACCTCCCCATTATAAGTCAATGGGGGAAAAATCAACTCCCTGTTTTTACCACTAAAACGGGTCGGAATGGCCCCATATACCATACATGACTTCATATACGATCAACCTTCACTACCTTGAGGTCTGTTTTGCTGTTGGGCAGCTGTGAGGTCATGTGACGTCATCAAAGGTCACCAAAGGTTTTTGGCCAATAACTCCGTACAGGAACAAGATACAGACGCGTGGATGGTCTCATTGTGTTCAGCTCGTCAAGACGCATCGAATGATATACATGATGACCTCGAGGTCACGTGACCTGAGGTCAACCTTTGACCTTGACCTTTCAAGGTCAACATATATATCATTCGATGCGGATTGACGAGAGGATCACGATGATGCCCTTAGTTTGTTCCTATCTTGACTAATTCGAAAGTTATTCGAGAAAAACTCTCTCCATATCTAGTGCCGCCATTTTGACTTTTTCGACCCCTGTGACGTCATCTTTGACCTGACCTGAAAATGACCTTAGTAAAAATTGTAGATCTTGGCCGTGCGTATCCGATGCCGTTTACCGCTTGTCGCTATCTTGCTTCGTTCTCGAGATCTCAGGGGGGGGGGCCGAATCGGCCCCCCCCCCCCGCCAGTTTCTTGTCCCGGCGGAGCCCGCCAGGAATAGGGTTAAGAAATCGTTATGCTGTTAATTATTCAATTAGTTGCTGAGCGCCCCTAAAACAGCCTACCATCATCGAGGCGCAATAATCTCTCGCCCTTCTATCCAGCTATCACGAAATGCTGCTACTACCGCGGTCCAAACTCCTGTCTTATTAACGCCTGGTTCAACATCTTGATTAACTGAGACAAATTGATCCGGCGCTCCACGAAACACGGATTAACCCGCGCCCCGTTGGGCTCTGCCGAGCAACGCGCCCGGTTGGGGGGGGGGGCATTTTGGCCCCCCCCCCCTAAGATCTCGAGAACCACGCAACATAGCGACAAGCGGTAAACGGCGTTGGATAGCCCCAACGGGGAACTACATTGTGACCCAATTTTATTGACCTAGGTCAAACCGATGACGTCACAGGCCAGGTCAAAGGTCCAATTTTCACCGTTTACAGGCACTTCAAGAAATGCGTTGTAAAATCGAGTAAAATGCATTTCATTGAAAATCATCGATGGGGAAATGTTCTTCAAACACATATTTTGCTATTTGAGGTCACTGATACCAGGTCAGGTCACAGAGGTCAGGTCACAGGGGGTCACAATATGAAAGTGTCGTGTGATACATGTTTTATGGTCCATTTTACATGACAAATGCGATTATATGGGTCAGGCAGCCTTTGGGGCCAGCTTAGATCACGTTTTGGTCAAGGTCAGGTCAAGGTCAGGTCAAGGTCAGGTCAAATTAGGTCAAATTTCAAAGTTAATATTTTTGCATAAAATGGGTATCGAATCGATGCAGCTCGTCACGGGGAGTTCAATGGTGGTCTTTGTTTTGCCGTACGAGGTCTAGAATTGCTAAAAATTGAGTTCAAAAATTTGACGTCATCATTTTTGAACAGTTTTTTCGCTATAACTTGGCCAAAAAACGAGATATCGATCTGAAATTTGGTATGTATATAGAAGAGCGCTGGGACTATCACATATATTCCGGTTTTTTTCGAAATTCGGAAAAATTTTGGATTTTTTTTTCAAAAAATTTTCTAAAAAAATCATTTTTTTGATTTTTTTTGGTCAAAAACCAAAAATTTTGAAAATCCGAGATAGCAGTTTTGTAGCGCCGCCTTTTGTCTACTAGACCATATAAAGAACTTTGAAATTGCTTGATAACTGTAGATTTGGTGAGCGTTTCAAGATTGCATATTTTTTGCTCATTTTTGCTCGAACATGACCTCAGTTTGACCTCAATAACTCCTGACCTAAGGTGACCTAAGACTTGAAATTTGGTGTGAAGGTGTCAAATTGATGCCCGGGAAAATTTGGCGGCGCTGCGCGCCGCCGTTTTCTTGCTATTCAGGAAAAACCACAGGGGGGGGGGGCCAAAATGGCCCCCCCAACGGGGCGAGGGTTAATACCGACTGTTGTGGATCCACGAGTTATATCGCGTGCTCGTTGGGCTCAGGTGAAATTATATTTCCTATAACTGACCTAAGCGTGCGTAACTACGTCTTATTCGTCATGGATGTTATGAACAGCATGTCCAGTCTTATCTAATATAGTTAGTTATGTTGAGTATCCATGACAGGTTGGATGATGATGTAAATAATAAACCAAATTATTACAAATGCATTCAAATATATTCAAAAAGACACACAAAGCTTTCGGTTCATAGAACCTTGATCACTGTTCATGTGATCATGGTTCTATGAACCGAAAGCTTTGTGTGTCTTTTTGAATATATTTGAATGCATTTGTAATAATTTGGTTTATTATTTACATCATCATAGTTAGTTATGGTTCTTTCACAAGCAGGTATGCCAATTGCTAAGTATTAACAACTGACGTTGCAGCAAACCGTTCACTTATACCTATACGGTAGCTCAGGCTACAGGGCAGTCCGGCAGCACAGCCCTTGCGGCGCTGGTCGAACAGGCCAAGGAACAAGCTCTGCATGAATTCGTAATGTGGAGTGGATGCTTTATCACGCCCCTTGGAGAATTAGTCGGGAAATTACGTATGTCAGTACAAAGCTGGATCATGAGTCAGATTCTGACCACTTAACCCATCTATCTAAAAAACTGTAGTTTGAAAGCGAAAAGGAAATATGTAGGACTGAACGGCTAGGAAGGACGATACAATAATTATCATCCATCGGTAAATAGTATTTGTTACCCACATATTGTCTTGTAAAATGTGGAACATTCACACGAAGAATGGCTATCCTGCACAGGTCATAGTAAAAAAAAAATGTTAAACTTCGCACTATTCACTTCCGACTATAATTGCCAAGAAAAATGCCACACTTTACCAACATGCATCCGTAAGCTGTGAGGGTACCTACTGAGTGGGGTACCCTCTGAGTGTGAGGGTACATCTGTCTTAGACCTAACTTCTATATACCTACCAAGCCAATCATCAACTGTTACCAGTAGCGGTCGCCGTCCTTGGCGAGGACAGAGTCAGTGTCGCACCGTTATTGTCAAACCAAACACAGGGCTGGAAAGCGTTCAAATATTGACAGCGTAATAATTTAACCGAATTCCACTGATTGATGAGATCGTGATACGATAGAAGACCTCGGATGTCACGAGTTTCCTTTGATCAATGAAAAGTCGATAGCAATGGTTGGTGCGCACTCAGTAGGTAATTTGCTAGTAATTCCACGAATGAACTGGAAGTTCTTGATTAATGTATTTGAAAAGCATATTAGCACTCTGTAATAGGCAGTATATGTATGGCCTGAAAATGCGTAGCCTCTTAACCTTTAGCCTAGTGCCGGGTGGTGGGTGGGGGTGGGGGGTTCGCCTTCGCCAGTTCTCTTGCGTGGTGAAAAAGCATGTAGCGA